CAGCCAAGCAACACAAGGGGCATCGTCTATAGTTGGGAATGACCCGTCCTGCCTCTATTTTCACAATGGACGGTGGGGTGGCGAACATCACCCTCAATCTGAAGGAGTTCCAAATAGTTAGTCACATAACAACGGTTATCGGCTCAGTCTTCTAGACGGCAGCGAGTCGAACGACAGAGGCAGGCGACGTGCGATCAGCTGCTGAGTGAGTTCGCTTGGCCAAATCATGAGATGCCAAGCGATGACCAGATAGTATCTATGGAGAAGACGAGCATAGCATGGTGTTGCGGGGGAATAGATGATCACTCACTTGCAGTTTATTGTTCTTCGCGACGGTGCGCGAAATCAGGCTGGTGGCATGCTGATTGTGCCAAACTCTGGGCTGATGCCACTTCGACCGAGGCTCCCGATCTGGAGGATGAGACCATACCTTGGTACTGCCCTAGATGTACATCACGTAAGGGTCGTAAACGTAAGAGGCGGGAAGAACACTTGAGGTAAGCGTAGAGAGCTGTTATTGACGCTTGAAGGATAGGTTCGATATCTGAATAGATACGAAAGGGTGAGGATTTCTGAAGGATTAACGGCTGATGTCAAGCCCACTATCTACTCAATTTCGATGACTAAGTATAACTTACTGCATGTAGATCTTTCACATCAATTAGTTCCGGATTGTACTTCATCAGATGAAACGAGACTTTAGTTGAGAAACATAGATTGAACCCAATCGAATCAGAGATTCCAACTTTAAAATCACCATCGCGATAGCTCTACGAATGATTCGCCACAGAGCATGTAGCAAAAATTGTGACACCGCCCCCCCAACGCAACGAGGAAAACACGAAGCTAAAGCTAGTGGGAATTGTTTAGTGCTGGAACCGCGTCAGTACCATAATTCATGCTTCATGAACAATATCTATGAATCACGAACTATAATACAAATAACACAAATACGCCAGTGATACACCTATCATGAATTAGGTAAATTCTCACACGTGCTAGCACACGTTCAGCACGCCGATACATAGCTAAAATAAAACACGGCGTAGAGTCAAATTTCTCGAATGATGCATTGTCAACAAGTCATAGAAACACATGATATGCCTGATAAGTCATTGGTCAAAATTGAATAGTCCAGTTATCAAAGCTTGAGTATTAGCAACTTCTAAGAGGCTTCATAAATTTATGGAGTTCATGGCATGAACAGTCTGCGAAATAGATCGTAGTGGCGGGCGAGATTTGAATTCATCTTCCTTAAATCTCGGACGTGCCACTGTGGCTCAGCCACAATTAGTTTCCTAAACATTTCAACCTCTAAGAGGCAATGGCCCATTGCCAATGGGAGATCATTTTTGAGACGGTTATCTTGGAGAACTTGGTAAATCTTGCACTTCCTCAACAGCGCGTTTGGTGCACTTGGCAAAATCGAGGAAAACGGCCAACCCCGAAAACCCTCCGATTGCAAAGCGTGAAGCACTGAGGGCTTGCGGGGCGGCCGTAGGCCGCCCTCCGTACCAGTTGCTGAGTGGATAAACTTTCGAGGTGATTGGTGCCGGTGAACCCTCTCACTGGTGCGGATGAGCCCCCTATGCCTTGAGCTCTTGGCTGGTCTCGAGAAATCCTAATTTTACTCTCAGCCCTTTCTTCTAACGTAATTTTCTTATGAGTATCCTTGTGTGCAAAGTCTCATCAATACTAAGCAAAAACGCTCAGGCGGTACTTCCCCAGTCGAATAAATGGAACTGGCATCGATCCAAGGTCGAACCAGGCATGTTGCGCTGTTTCACAAGAGGGACAAGGCTGAGCTTTGTAGCTAACGTCGTCCACCGCCATGTCAATAAGAGTATCAAACTCATCTTCGAGTATTTATAATAATCATAATGTCGACTACTTCTACCCCCGCTTCCAGGCACAACATCTCTCCCTATGCCCAAGCCTTGTCTTGTGACCATTACTATCATCTTGGTCTCGATACCGATATGGACCTTCAGGCCCTCTTCGGTGATGTCAAGTACTTCGTTATGATGGGCTCTCCTGCCCGTGCTGAGACCTTCGCTGAGGTCATGGCCAACGCCTTTGTGGAGCAGGGCCTCCCTAAGCCTACTGTTATGCGTCTTGGTAAGACTGAGCGTTACAGCATGTTCAAGTGTGGGTCTGTGATCTCCGTGTCTCACGGTATGGGTGGTCCCTCTCTTCATATCCTCATGAACGAAGTTGCCAAGTTGTGCAATCATGTTGGTATCATCGATACCGTCAGGTGGATCCGTCTTGGTACCTCTGGTGGCTGTGGTGTTGCTCCCGGAACCGTGGTATGCACCACTCAGGCCATCAATGATGAGATTAAGCCCTGCTGGAGAACTGTGCAGCTCGGTAAGGTCTTCGAGGTCCCCACTGATGTTCTCGATATGCAGTTCGTCGATGATATCATCGCCAGTGCCCCTGAGGATATTCCTGTTGTGAAGGGTAAGACCATGGCTGCTGATGATTTCTTCGAGGGTCAGGGCCGTACTGATGGTGCTCTCACTCCCTGGTATACTGAGGAGGATAAGATTAACTTCCTTCATCGTCTACATGATGCTGGTGTCCGCAACATCGAGATGGAGAGTGTCGCTCTTATGGGTTTCTGCCAGCGTGCCAAGATCCCCGCTGCTTGCGTATGTGTGACCTTGGTTAACAGGTTGGAAGGTGATCAGATTACCTCTACTAAGAGGCAACTCGCCAAGTACAACGAGTACTCCATTCGTGTGGTCAGCAATTTCATTGCCACCACTCAGGCTAAGACTGCTCATTAAATGATGTATTCATAGGTTTGTTGTATCGTGAATATCTAGTCAATGTATAGAATGTATTTTCTTCAATGGGACTCTAGATAGTCCCGAGGTTATTAACCTACTATCTAGTGCCGTATTTCGGCTCCTAACTTTATGTTCCTCCACAACATAGTTAAGGATAAGGATTTGTGTTAGTAAACTGGGAGGGATGGAGGGACTTGTAAGTGAGTTTAGCAATTGAAGCGCTGCATGCTCGTTCATTACCCTGTTATCAAGCATATCGAAACAAGAACAATAACAACCAAAACAGGACGTTGAAATGGCTGTTATTTCTTTGTGAAAATAGAGCGCAATTGACTGTTATAAATAGTTTCCTCGAAGGATGAATAAGTCGGTTCTTTCAACGGTGACTCCTTCAATAGCCTATTAAGGAAAGACTTTTTATTTGTAATGGTATAAGTCGCTCTTGAAATCGAGAGGGGCTCCTGTCGCGATCACGCCAACAAGCCTAGAGCTCGTCATCAATACGCTCTTTCGTTGACGATGGGTGCCTGAAGGCGTCGGCCAAAGATCATTGAGTCGATCCAAGAAGGGGAACCATATGTAACGCACATCAGAGGATCGCTTGTCACACTTATGCTGTCCGCAATCTTTCCTCTCACCCTTATTTTCATCCTCATCTCCTCCATGAGAAGAGGACGAAGACGATTCGCCGAACACTCAATGCTTGCGATAAATACAGCATCTTCCCGTTTTCCGCTGGTTCAATAGTAGAACTGTTGGTCTCAGTGGCCGACGCGACAGTGTAGCCACTGCACAACATCTCACTGTATTATATCTACTGCGGTATATAACAACAAGAACAACCCCAGTCAACTGTCAACACAAAAATCGATGAATTTTTCGTCGGAAAAGGGCTAGAGTTCGTGATGACGACGATAGTTATAGGGTATGCTACGAAGTACAGCAGACTTGAGCAATAAATGTGATTGTCCTCCACAATAACGACCCTCTTTCAAGGAGAGTCTCCTAATAGGATAACATGATGTATTGACAATAGACGAGTACTGGTACAGCGAAAACACGGATAATAAGAGTCCCACCTGGACTATGACGGCTAGCATGAGAGTGAGTTCACGACGACTACAAAGTTTAGCGAGTAAAAAAACACGGCAAGATATCTCGGTAGGGTGCACATCACCGTGACGGTGCAACAACAACAGGATAGACCTCGTAATTACGTAATTGACGAGCCATGTACGGGGACGATGTGCTCAAAAACATGATACAGGTAACGAGATGAAAAACCGTGAGAGAGTAACGATAGTAGTCGAGACAGATTCCGCGAAAGCGAAACACTGTTGCTAGCAGCACGCAAAGACAACAGCAAAGTTGCAACAATCAGAAACTTTGCCAGTTTTCATATAGTCGCGCAAAACCCACAATCGTGCTTTCATCTATCTACACTGCAGTAGCAATAGCCTCATCAGCGACAGTAGAAGAAGACCTAACAGGGTCGTCTTCCTTGCCGTAGTACTCAGAGATCGTGATATCGCGTTCGACAACTATCCACTACGAGCAACCAGACCGACCACTGCGATGAGGCTGCAAACGACGATGATGCTGCCAACAACAATGCCGCTAAGATTGAAGGCGAAGGCACATATTAATGCCACTGCAACGAGAGTGAGAATGGTGATGAGCCACAAGACCAGGAGAGTGATGGCCTTAGCGAAAGAGATGTGGAGCCGTTCCATAGAGGGAGTGACAATAAAAGATAGTACGTATGAAACAAACCTGACAACAGTACACCTTCGCTACTGCAATACAAAAACATTACTTTCCTATACTTCAACACAGTACCCCCGATCGAAACTACAGTTGCGAGGTCCGAGGTCCTGACGCTAGCAAAGATACTTTCAAGCTAGCCAGAGTCTCCGATCATATCGGTGACGGACCCCCGAGGGGCCCATCCATGCTGTTATGCTATACCTATGGGTGTAATATAAACCTAGCCTTATAAAAAACTATTATTTCCCGAAGTTACGCCCTGAACACAGTGCTGTTACTTAGAAGACGTTAAGAGACGAGCAATGTTGCTATTGTCGTTAACAACGAATCGTTATAGTGATGATACATTTCCACAGTCAAAACTGCGCGGCTCATCCAGGTCGCCTCAGACTTGAACTCTGTTCACAGACAGTTGGACTATCCTTCTCAGCGACCGCAGTGCCCAACCGCTGGCCTCGCGAGTCTCTCACAGAGAACACAAACTTAAAGGCAACTCCAAAGGCAAGCCATGCAACACCAACAGAGATGAGGACGATCACCCAAACAGGTTGTGTCTGCATTATGTACACTGATATTAGAGAACAAATTATAGCTACTAATACAACACCATAGCACAACCCCAAGAAGATGTATGTGCAGTGGGACAGCTCCACACAAGCAGACATGGTGGCTATAGAAG